CCCCCTGCGACCCCAGTGAGGGTTAAGGTGTAGAGATGATGGATGGATAAAAGCACACTCATGTTTCCTTTTTCGTTTCCAGACTCCCTGCTCTCATGCTGCCTAATGCTGACCAATAAGCTGGTTTTCATAGCGGGATGAACATGTGCTGTTATCACATCTGCAAACGCTGCCTGAAATGTGACGAATAAGAAAAATAGTTTTATATACACACACACCATCAGTGGAGCCCTGGTTCCTCTGCTATGAAGCACGTTTATCACACCCAGAGCATCTTGATCTGGCCTCACTAAGCTTAACAACTGTTGTCCCGCCAACTTGGTCAACCCAGAGTTCCTGAACCCGGCTTTGGGTACGTTAGGAGGTGAAGTGCAGGCATGGACAGGCCTGCATGTCTCACAGGAAGAACAAGTTATGATACTCTGCTTTATCCTGCATTGGGCTGTGGGAGAACTTGGGTTGTATTTTAGAAGTCCTCACACTGGTTTAGGGTTTCATTTGTTCTTCTTGTGAGAAATGTGAAACTCTAAACCTGCTCAGATTTGTGACTGGTCATGTAGTGCCAGCTCGCCTCTTTGTGCGACCACAAAGCCAGAAGAAGGTGGATAACTGGCTCTGTGTGACCACTCCACCACACAGCGGTTGAAAGGTTGAGTTAAACCAGATTAAACAAGATTCCCTGGTTATGTTAAAGCTGCTTCAGGTCATGGCAGTGTCACAGTGTTATCCTACATCCTGTGAGTTTCTCATATCACCAAGGCTTAAAGTTTCTGTTATTACAAAACGCAGCGAAAAGAATATCTGGAAATAAAACCAACAACTGGATCACGTACCTTTACCTCTAATGTTTCTGTGCGCTTAGGTTCATTTTTTCAGGCGATGAGATAGCAGTACAATAGATAACCTGAAGGTTCATATAGAACGCTTACGGTTTAAATACTTGACAGCAGCATCTGTGTGCAGCAACAGTCCAACAGAACCGGTTTCCTTCTGGTCAGACACATTACATGGACATTAATTGTCTTGCTTTGAGCAGCACAAGCGTGATTTCATTCACTACAAACCTCGACAGATTTAATAGAACCAGTCAGCGTGGCCAGTTACCGGCTCCAAGTGAGAAGACGTATGGTTTTGTAGTTTAGTTGAATCGACCTTTAAAGCAGAAACCTTGGTGAGCCTGAATGGAAGAAAAGAAAAAGGCCTGCGGTCCCAGCTGTGGTTCATTCCTGCTAATTGGTTGTGTTGTGTTGTCCAGGTGGCGATGCTGCAGAACCAAGGCAGGGAGATGATGATTGTCACCAGTGGAGCCGTGGCCTTTGGCAAGCAAAGATTAAGACACGAGATCCTGCTGTCCCAGAGCGTCCGGCAGGCGCTGCACTCTGGACACAGTCAGCTCAAAGACATGGTAAGAGGAGGCGGAGACGCAGGTCGGGGCCCAAGGTATGTGGAAGTGTAAATGAGACTAATGGAGATGCAGCTGCCGCTACGTGGAGAATAATGTACGCGGAGAGCTCTGGCTCTTTGCTGCCGCAGGAAATCACCAAATGCCTTTTTCTGTGCATGGTGGAGGACAGAGCACCTGTGACACCTGTCCAGGATGATGACTTCTAATGGCTGGCAGCAGCGACTGCCATGGTGAAGCTCACTGTTCAGGGTTTCTTCTGTTCGTTGTTTCAAACAGCTCTGCGGTACCATTGCATGTAATGTGGTCCAGTTAGTACAGGCTGCACTCCAAATCCAGTGCTTTGTCTTTTTTAGAAGCATAGGAAGCCTTTCCCATCATGAAACAGCGTACCTGCTACAGCTGCTCTGCCACAGCTGCACAGAGAGCTGCTACATGCTGCTTCATCATAACACTGCTCCTCCAGCCATCCTGCTCATGTACTGTCACCGTCTGCAGAGCAAAATGTGCTTTGACATGATGTTTGACAATAAAGACTGAGTCAGAACGGCCAAACCAGCCCGCTGGCTCGTGGACCACTGGGCTCATCAGTGTTTCTGTACAAACCACCGACACTGATGGAAATGCAGAAAATCGACCATTTTTGTCCTCATGGTGTCTAAATGCTGAGAAGCAGAACGCTGCACGTCTCATAATGTGGTCAAGGAGAAGATTTGTTTTAATTCACATCATGCAGCAGATCTCCAGAACCAAGTGGTCCTGACTGCGGCTGTTAGCGGCCTCTGAAGCACAGGTAGCCGTTAGCTCCTCATCACACTGTACTTAATCTTCCCTTTACATTCACATGTAGTGATTTAATACGACTCCAGTGGTACCAGGTACCACATTGTCTATGCAGGTGTTCTGGATCATGTTTGCAGCAGACTGTAGACTCCACACGGCCTCTAACATTTTACCCATTTTTGCTTCTGAACTTGTGAAATATTAAAATGTGTGTCGATGCAGTTGTCGTGGGTCCTGTGATTGTTCCTCTGGCTGGTAGTGTGGGTATCGAAGCTCACCTGTATTTGAGTTTTCTGAGACATTTTGTCCAGCCACAGCGCAGAAGGCTCCGGTTCACTAGTAACAGCTGGATTCCACTTGGGGGAGCTCCTGCTTCTGGACATGCTGGTTCCCTGTATGGCTTACTGGGATGGAACATCATTCATTCCACCTGTGCTTTCTAAATGTCAGGATGTGTGGATTTGAAGTGTGTTTAAGGAACCATAAGCTGGACAGATGATAGATATGAGACATTTCTGACATTTGTGTTGCAGTCTGTGCCGGTTCTGGAGGCCCGGGCCTGCGCTGCTGCTGGACAGAGTGGCCTGATGGCGCTGTATGAGGCCATGTTCACCCAGTACAGCACCTGCACTGCACAGGTACAAGTATACATCAGAATAACCAGCTGAAGATGGTCCAGAAGTATGTTTTGTTTTTTTAGTTTTGCTTTTCTCTGTCACTCTCTGCTCTTCTTAAAGTCTCTGCTTCCCTCTGTGCCATCAGGTCCTGGTGACAAATCTGGACTTCCACGATGACCAAAAGAGGCAGAACCTGAACAGCACACTGCAGGAGCTGCTGCGCATGAACATCGTGCCCATCATCAACACCAACGACGCTGTGGTGCCTCCCCCGGAGCCCAACAGCGACCTGCAGGGGGTAAATGTGGGTACAGACAGCATGGGGGCGACGCTGGTGATGGTGGCAGCGGGGGTTGGCAGAGACGCAGTTTGTTTACTATGTACATGCACCGTTCATGAACATCGCTTTCTGTCATCGACACACGTCCTCAGACGCCTCTGCCACCCTGCACTCAGCTGTTAAGGGATGTGCATGCAGTCGCTGGAAGGAGGTGCAGGGACCAGGACTGTCGGTAGATGCCTCCTTTACATGAGCACCTGCAGAAATCACGAACGTCTTCTTCTCATTCTCTGTTGTTGTTGGTTTAGTGCAGCGTGTCAGTTCTTGTTATCACAGCTCAAATAGACATGATTTGGTATGAAAGGGTTTAAGACTAATTCAGAGCCAACTCAACCGGTGCTCCCCTTATGGGCAATACACGGTTATTTGGAGAACTTCAGTGGATTTAAGGGACTTTACTTTCTGAGATATTTACTTTATTGTCTAGAAAAACAGCTCTGCTTCGTTGACAATTTGGGTGTGATGTCTTCTATGTTTTCCTCCCGAGCTGCTTACAGTAGTGCACAGTGTGACAGTACAGGCTTTTTTTACATGTGTTTGTTTTTTTGTCAGCTTGGTTCTGGTCTTTTGGAAAAGGTTCGGGTTGGTTCGTGGCAGATGGCTGACTCCCTGCCACTACGTTTGGTCTTTAGGAGCTGACATCAGCACTTTTGTGTCCCTGCAGGTGATCAGCATTAAGGACAACGACAGCCTGGCAGCGCGGCTCGCTGTGGAGATGAAGGCTGACCTGCTCATCGCGCTGTCTGACGTGGAAGGTGTGTGTGTTACCATGACAACAGTCTGGGTCAGCTGTTGGGTAACAACACCATCTGTGTGGGGAGCAAACACCAGTCTCAGGGTCAACTGAGAGTCATATGAGAACGACAAACACGGACCTTCTGCCTTCATGTTTGACGCTGATGCTGATGGGTTGACACCAGGTGTCCGTGTGCACACGGATGTCACGGCTGTAGAGCCACTCAGCAGCAGCTGAAGAGGTTTTCTTTAAATGCTGAATGTCAGACACCTGTGACAGAGAGGCCATTTCTCTAAAGACATCACTGGATTATAAGACATATGTGAACCGTTTTGTTTTTGTCTTACCAGGGAAAAGACCAAGTCATACAATGAATGTTTTTCTGTTCCTGTGTGTCTGTGAGAAAACAGGTTAAATAGAAACTGTTTATGTTGTAGGACTATACAACAGCCCCCCTGGAACAGATGATGCCAAGCTCATTGACATCTTCTATCCTGGAGACCAGCAGTCTATCACCTACGGCACAAAGTCCAGAGTTGGGATTGGAGGCATGGAGGCCAAGGTAGGCTGGAGGCTCTCACTGTGTCACAGGGAGGTTTACAGACGTCTTATCGTGACACACGTTCATCAGCTGCTTGTGCTGTGGATCTTTTCCACTTTGATTTTCTTCTCAAGTTTGGAACAAGAAGCTCTTCTTTAGAAGTCTTTTAAGGAAACTTGGTGCAGATGTGACAGACTTAATGATGAATGCTTACAAGCACAGAAGTCGGGTTTCAAGTCCAACTTCACCAACGTCCACTGTGCATGGATAAAGAAGATAACCCACCAACACTGTTACGCACCTCTTTGCTTAAAGTAAGACGTCAGACGAGAAGTGATGTTTGTGGCGCATTTATCAGAGTCCTCAGAACCAAACAGATGGTTGACTGAGCTCTTCTGCTGGACACAGGTTACGCAGGTAGAAAACATAATCTGAACAGTTTGGTTTTGTTTAATGCACAGCCTGTTTACACCCTCATAATGGGGACAGCATTGTGTCTAAGCACAGTTCTTCCTATACGAAGTCAACTGTACAAAGCGTTCATGTGACTGACCTCTGACGAGTTCAACAGACTCAGAAGCAACAGATCGTGTTGATGCTGTAACTCAGCGATCGTAGAACTAGACACAGACATTAAAATGTAGCTTCAGCTGTGTTTCTCTGCAGGTGAAGGCTGCACTCTGGGCGCTGCAAGGTGGCACCTCAGTGGTCATTGCAAACGGCACTAACCCCAAAGTGACCGGCCACGTCATCACTGACATCGTGGAGGGCAAGAAAGTGGGAACTTTCTTCTCAGAAATCAAACCTGCTGGTGGGTTTACGTGTGCTGAATGATTTTTCCTTTCTGTCTCGCATCAGTGCCGCTTCAGCCGTCCTGAAAGTGCAGCTTCTGTAGTCTCAGTCTGTCTCGTCTCCGACACTTGTCCAGGTCCGTCTGTGGAGGAGCAGACGGAGATGGCTCGTAACTCTGGAAGAACCCTGGCATCTCTGCATCCAGACCAGGTGACTGATGGGGTTTTAAATTAGAACGGAGAGTCTGTTCAGTTGCCTTCATTAGTGGTTTTAATGTTAACCCTCTAAACCCAACCCATGTTGTTCCAGGTGTTTTCATTTTATGTCAAATAAAAAATATAGTTTTCTTTTTTCTATTCATGTCGTACCTTTATTAAACTGCACAGAGGACATTTTGGGTTCTCTCAACTTCTAGCCATGATTTGTTGCTTCCAGAGATTCAGGACTTTAGAACTGCATGTGAAAGGAACCCACAGTGAGTAGAACTGTGACAGAACTAAACTCGCCCAGAAGCTGCTTGGGTTCAGAGGGTCAACATGAATAATTTAGAATGTCAGTCCCGTATCTTCCTTATCAGTCACAGAGAAACACTGACCCTTTGTGCCCCATGCTGTGTTTGGTTGACTGTGTTGTCAGAGGAGTGAGATCATCTGCCATCTAGCAGACCTTCTGACTGAAAGGAAGGAAGACATTCTGGCCGCCAATAAGATGGACATGGACCTGGCTGTCAGCGCAGGTAACAGAACGCCACATGCAGTCGGGTTCAGAGACAATGAAGCAGAGCAGAAGCCTTCACTTAGGAAAAGTTTGCAGAACTGCTCCAAAGTTTTACAGGACTGAATATTTCATGCTTTTTTTTTTTTTGTAGTGTTCGTGCTGGACTAAAGAAATTCTGGCAGAGACAGTGAACTCGGTTCTTCTGGGGAAATATTAACGTATACGTTCATAAAGAATGAGAGTGTCTTTGAGCCTCAGTGTGGAGATGATACGAGAAAACATGACATAGATTAAATAAAAATCAGTTTCCTGAAGATTCCTGTCTTGTCGTAAAGAATCACATCAGTCACAATGTCCAGCAGAGGGCGACGATCACTTCCTCCTCACATCAGGACTTTGATTAATGATGACGTGCAACGCTGTCTCTCTTCTTCCTAGGTCATCTACCTTCAGCTATGCTGAAGCGTCTGAGCTTGTCTCCGGCCAAACTCAACAGCTTGGCCATCGGCCTGCGGCAGATAGCCGTGTCAGCCCAGGACAGCGTGGGTCGGGTGCTGCGCAGGACCAGGGTGGCTCACAACCTGGAGCTGGAGCAGATCACTGTGCCCATCGGCCTTCTCCTGGTCATCTTTGAGGCCCGGCCCGACTGCCTGCCGCAGGTATCTGTGACCTAACACGAACAGACCCAGCATTAGCTTTTTTGATTTGCGTTTTCATGAACAAGCAGATTTTTTGCTCGTTTTTCTTGAACTCCCTGCAGTAAACACAGTCACACCGTCTGGCTGTGTTTTCTTTCAGGTGTCAGCTCTGTCCATAGCCAGTGGCAACGCCCTTCTGTTAAAGGGAGGCAAAGAGGCGTCCAGCACCAACCGGGTCCTCCATCAGCTCACCCAGGAGGCCCTTTCCTTGCATGGAGTCTCCCAGGCTGTGCAGCTGGTAAAACTGGTTTCCTACACATTTATGAAAAGGCAGCACAAACCTTGTATAATCTTTAGGAACTCACAGTTCTGGATGGAACCGCTCCACCTCCATCAGTCAGAAGGACGCCTGGCCTGATTCGTGTGTCCGTTGTCCTGATACGTGCACCATGAGCTTCTGTCTGCTGTGACTGAACGTCCTGCTTTCCTTACAAGGTGAGCACTCGCGAGGAGGTGGAGGACCTGTGCCGACTGGACAAGATGATCGACCTGATTATCCCCCGAGGTTCGTCCCAGCTGGTGCGGGACATTCAGCGGGCAGCCAAGGGCATCCCGGTGCTGGGTCACAGTGAGGGAATCTGCCACGTCTACGTCGACGCAGACGCCAGTGCGGACAAAGTCATGAAAATTGGTCAGTAAATGCTTTTTTCCCCAAAACTGAGTTGCTATTTATGTTTTTTTCTACATTAGCCAACTCATACTACTCTTGTGATAGCGGGAGGCCAGTTCTGCCAGACGTGAGCTGTATTACAGCAAACTGATATGTTTCACTTCCAGTCAGAGATTCAAAGTGTGACTACCCAGCTGCTTGTAATGCCATGGAAACGCTGCTGGTCCACCGGGACATCCTCAGGACGCCGCTGTTTGACCAGATCATCGACCTGCTGCGCACCGAACGGGTACCACACCAAACACGTTGTTCTGAGTTCACTCGAGTCCCGTCAGATCATGACATCTGGTTGCTGTGGACTTCTAAAAATCTTAACGCTGTGAACTTCCAGCAGTGAGTGTGTGTTTTTGCTTGTCCCGGTTCTACTCACTGCAGTATAAAATCCTGCACAGCCACGGCTAGAAGTGGACAGAACTCAAAGGTGTAATAGTAAAATAACCAAAGTTCTGTAAGTAAATAAAAAAACCAGCTTCATTTCTTTATTTGTTTTACAAACATGAAAAACCCACAATCAGTGTTTTCCAGGTGCCTGCAGATGTGAAATGGTGAAAATGTGGCTCTACATACAGCATATTTTTCTGTTTACATGTAGCTTTTCCATCCTTAGCACTTCTCTGCTCTGCCTGCAGAGGAGCCCGGTTCAGCCCAACAGTGGCTGGATGTCGGTCCTGTTGCTCACTAACAGGCTGCTTCGGTTCTTCACAGGATCTGGTTCCTGCAGAAGGTTTAGAGTTTATCTTTGGGCTCAGTCTGACTCCATTCAGTGTTTAACGTCTCTAAATAAGTCACTGACAGAATCTTTTCAGTTTTATTTAAAGGGCTATTCACACATAAACGATTTTAATTCGTATGTTTTCTGGAGGTTTGAACTGCTGGGGTCAGATTGAGCCCAGGATAAAAGCTGTCAGTCAATTGTAAGGTTATAGGAGGGTTCAAAGGGTTCGTACAGTTTAAGGAAGCTGGTAATCCCACTTGGGATGTACTTATTTTAATAAGTAGTTCTGCAGTAGGACTGACTCCTCTTTCTGCCTGGTGTGACTAGGTGAAGATTCACGCAGGGCCTCGGTTCGCCTCCTACCTGACGTTCAGCCCCTCGGAGGCCAAGTCCCTGCGGACAGAGTACGGTGACCTGGAGTGCTGCATGGAGGTGGTGGACAGCATGCAGGAGGCTGTGGACCATATACACAAGTACGGCAGCTCCCACACAGATGTTATCATCACAGACAATGGTAGGTGGCTCCACATCTCACTGCTTGTACGCTGCTGTTTTCTCTTTTTTTTTTTTTTTACTTAAAAAGTACAAACAACTAATTTGCACTTTAACACAGCAAACAGAAGCAGGAAGGAAGTCCAGTGTTTAATTTCACGTCACTGTGCAGCTCCTGAGTCTTGTCCCGCTCCCTGCCTCGTGTTGTCTAACATCCATCCAGCCGTCCTCCTCCCTTCCCTCCCATCTCACTTTGTGCCACAGCCAGTAATGAGCAGCGACACTCTGCTGTCAGCCCGAGTGCACAGCCTCCCTGTGTGACTCCAGCCTCGTGGACAGAGCCCATTTAAAATGTAGAGCAGGTGATGAACAGTTTAAAAGACTTGTCCCTGTCATAACTTTGACTCGCGCTCAAACATATTTCTGTCTTTGAAGTGAGCCATCACGCTGCATCCTCCTAACTCGTGTGGATGGAAACTATTGAGTGCGAGGCCACAGAGGACTTCCTGACTTCAGGCTGTGGCCATATTGCATGTGCACCGTGCTGATGACGACCACGTCTTCGGGAGTGTTGTAAACATTTAAAGCAAACTTAAGGTTTCCATAAACATCTGAGGGATGTTCTTCTTTGAGAGCAGAACTGTGCCACAGTCATAATATTGAGGATGCTGGCGAGCAGTACTGACAATGAGCAGCATTTTAAAAACACAGGACTAAGTGTGCTGTTCATATTTCTACACTGAGGATGATCTCACCTGCAGTGGAGGAGGTTTTGCTGCCATCTAGTGACCACAGAAGGTACCTCGATGAATTAAACTTCACTCATTTGTTTGTGTCAGTGTAGATAGATAGGGACCGACTGATGGGTGGTAGGCACACGGGGAGATGTGGACGTCCAGCTAGTGATCGATGGATATGTGGTTTCACAGATAGCATCCATAAAATATACAGAATATGTAGGTGTATATGTACAGTAGTAGCAGGTACAATATGCAGTTAGACTGACAGGAGGTCATCTGTGAAGTCATCAAGAGAAGAACCTGCCTCGGCTGCTTGTGTTAACGTTACAGTTAACTCATCCCATGTTTGCTTTACCTTTCTATCCAAAGGAGAAACTCACAGACTTGTCCTTTTTTAACATATAGATGCGTCCAGATTAGGTCCAGAATCATAGCAGTGACTTTGTGGGTGGATGGTGAGCGTTAGCGTGGTTTAGGAGCCCCGGCTGTGTCCTACAGTCATATCAGCACAGGGATCAGTGACTGCAGTGGCAGCAACAAACATCTGTAACTGTCACATCTGGTTTGAGCTTTAGTTGTTCTGGCCGTTGGCTCAGTATGGTTCCTACCAGGCTGCCCAGAAGAACAAGACCAACACCAATAAGCTGTCGTTGTGTTGCAGAGGACACAGCAGAGCAGTTCCTGCAGCAGCTGGACAGCGCCTGTGTCTTCTGGAACGCCAGCTCACGTTTTGCTGATGGCTACCGGTTTGGACTGGGTACGTCCAGTTCTTGTCTTCTATCCTGTATTCTGAGTGAAACCTTCCTATCATGCACCACTGAGACAATCTAAAGACTGTCTGTTCACACGCTGTTTTTTGTTTCCCGTTATGACTTGCTGTCTTCCTTTCTCTGCCTCCAGGAGCAGAGGTTGGTATCAGCACAGCTCGTATCCATGCCCGAGGCCCTGTAGGCCTTGAGGGGCTGCTCACCACCAAGTGGGTCCTGAGGGGTGATGGGCATACAGCAGCCGACTTCTCCGAGCACGGCAACATGAAGTACCTGCATGAAAACCTGCCTGTCGGCCAGTCTTTAGCCGGACAGAGGGACAGCAACTAGGCCAGAGACTCACAGCTTTTACTTGGTCTTATCGCTAGAAACCGTTTGTTCTCCTCAGAAAGCTGCTGTTGGCTGGTGTTTGAACCTCTGAAGCACACGTGATGGGACGAGTCACTCAGCACACCTGTGGTCCAGTTTACCTACACAACCAGAACCATGTTCCTGGACAGATTATGCTGTTGTTCAGGGACGAAGGGTTTACAAATATTTAAAATTCTACCTCTCTTGTACGTGCATATGAGTTATGCAGGCTGGCCAGCAGGTCAGTGAAAACAGAGCCAGAGGTAACCAAGATTACTTTATAAAGTAGAAACAGGCGTTACCATGCAGTGTCTCTAAGGTGCTTTTAAAATGATCTCAGGACATAATTTTGGATCTGACTTTTTCATTTCATGACAGATAACTAATATAATAATAATAACTAATATTCCCAATCAACATCGAGCTTTGATGTGTCTGTGATCAGTGACCAGCAGAGGTTCTCTACGCTACGTTTTTAATTTCACGTCATTCTGTCCTCTCAGCAAAGCAACGCCTGCTTTAAATGTAGAAGTGAAGGCTCAGGTTTCTGTTCAGCCAGCTTGTTACCCACCAGCTTCACAGTCAGTGTGCTGAGGGCTTTCTTTGTTCATATAGCATTGCTTCTGCTTTATTTGCTGTACCTTAGGGTGTAATTGTGTCTGTATTCTCCTGAACTTCCAGGTGTTTTGATAAGATGAGGTGCTACCCTTGGTCCCTTTAACCATGAAGTAATAGAAGTCAAAGGTTGTGTTTGGTGGTGCACATCTTCTCCTCTAGCTCGTCTTTACCAGCTTTTACATTTCACGGGACAAAACCTGATTCCAGGATTGGAATTAAAATAAAACTGTGCGACAAACATACAAACCAGTCAGAAGTGTGTGATCTGTTGTGTAGTAAGTGAACTCCACTCCGACTTGTGTGCATCCATTATTATTTCCTTTTTCTTTTTTTTTAATTTATTTAATTATTGTTCTAGCTTGTGCTCATTTCTCCGTGCTTTGTTGCTCTCCTGCCTGCTCCTCGTGGCGCCCAGAGCCTCTGTCAGAGCAGGAATGGTAATTGACAAGCTGCCTCCTTGGAGCTGGAGGGAGAATGCGACTGCTTTTAAATGAAGCTCTGCAACATTCAGCCTCTGAGCTGCTATCTGATGTCTTGCAATGCACACTTAAGGACTGGTTTGGGTTCTTTAATAGCAGCATTGTAGAATTAAAAAAAGAAAAAGAAAGTTGAAAAGGAATATTTGGATATTTTTCTTACTTTTTTTTTAGCAGTTGAATTGTTAAGGATTTTTTTTACATGTATGTTCAACTCTGTCCTGGTGCAGCTCTTTCTACTTTCACAAAGAACACAAATTAATGGGAGGAGGAGGGGGAGAATCACACTGATCTGAAAAACAGATGTCTAAAAAGGGCCTTTTTAAAGTTGCCCATAGGGGAATTCGCATTGCTGGAAGTGGGGCAAGGAAGATGGAAGACAATACTATAGAGGTTTAATTATCCAGCCATCAGAAATGAAAAGAGAGAAAAGGAGAACTGAGACTAATAATGGAATCACAGACTTATGTTCTGGGTTTCTCTGTTTCTTTTTGGGGTTTTTTTTCTCTCCTTTCTCTTTTCTATCATCTAAAGAATTCATTCTCCAAAACGCACTACTTACCCTTCAATCAGCTCCCCATCACGAGTCCAAAGGGTTCAGAGATGAAGAGGGAGACAAACTCGGATCTCACTCTTTTGTCCTTTTTATGTGTGAAGCGATTGAAAACATCATCTAAATGACTTGAGGTAGAGATGGAACGATCCAGGGACAGTGAGCGTTGCCTCTTTGATGCGTAGTGTTTTATAAAATCCTGTTTTACCGTATATCACATATATCACATATCAGAGCTGTGGCTGCAGACACAGGACCTGCAAAGGGGTCCAAGTGTAGTTAAGTTTACATTTACTGTTAAATGGGACGGTTCTATTTTCAGTTTACTGACTAAAAGTGTTATTTTAAAGTCGGTACTAGTTTTGCATTTTAATAATCAGACTGATCAATAAACGGTGATCGTTAGCGTGTCGTGAGCTTTGTGTTTGAATCCAGCACCAGCTGTACGTTTATCTAAAGCTCTCCAGAACATGAAAGATGTTCGTTTACTAGTGAATTATAGAAAAACAATCAGTTTACCATTTTAAGTTGTGGGTTCTTATTTTTACTTATTAAACTTAGTCAGATAAATTCCATCCATGAATAAAACTGTAGGATGTTAATTTAGTCGAGTATATTTTTACTTGACATCATTTTGTAGGCTTTTCGCCATAATGTGCGCTACATGCATTAAACTCATTCATAAATCACAGTGCAGGGTCTGAACCTTTATATTTATACTTGTCAGGTTAATTTGATCTTATTTCTCTGCTGCTGTTGCTGTAAATGTGCTGCGTCCATATTGTGGGCTTGACTTTTTCTCTGTCGTTAAGTTGTGCACCAGCTTTATAGTTCCCAACACATTCCTGAACCCAGAGCAGATTTCGGTCGTGTTCCAGGTGGAAAATAAAGTAAAAACAACAGTTTTTGCTGTTTGTCTTCCTATAAAGCTCGAAAAGTTAAACCCCTGAAACACACATGACGACAGACGTGCTTTGTGTGGACGTCTAAATGCTTTGGTCGTGGTGAAAATCCAAAGCCATCGCCCCTTCTGACCTGACTTTAACTTCTGCTTGTGTGTCAGATCAGGCAACCTGCAACATTTCCTCTGTCTCTTATGAGGTGTTGCCTCCAGACCTTAGCTGATCTGACTCCGTGCAGCATCCTGCTGATGTTGTCTTGTCTTCTGGGCGTTGTTGTCCACAGATATAAAAAAGATGATGAGGGCAAATCACTGGACTTGTACAGCAAAAGCTGACAATCCTTTAATTGGACATTACTCAAGGCCAAAACTCATATTTCTTGTTATGCTTGATCTTAAGAGACTCTCAAATGCACTCCCTGCTGGGCTTCAATTTTTTTTGAATCAATAATTAATGGTCAAAGTTATTTATTCATGTGTATCTTCGCCAATTACGCAGCGTCTAATTAACAATTTCAATAATTGATATTTATTTCTAAAAGGGTTCAGTATCTTGGGCTGATGAAAAATGCATGAGCAGGGATGTGGACTGGGTTTTGTTTTTTGTTCTGAGAGAGCTTGATGCTCGGGGCTAATACCAGGCCACTTTGACTCCAACTCTTTGAGTTGGCACTGGCCTTGTGATGTGGATCTAATATGGGCATCTTTCATGGACCCAAAGCGCTTACTCTGTACCATGTGATCTCATAAAGACTCCAACATGCCCATCCTCAGATACCCTTTTTTGGTCTTTAATAGCGAACTTCAAAGAATAAGCTTCTGTTTCCTTGATAATATTTCTTTGTGTACGTGCAGCGACGATATCACGAAAAACTGTGGAAACTCTTGGTCTTTGCGAGGACCTCAGCGGCTACACCACTAACTCTGTGGCCTGATGAAACTAAAGTTCAATCACCATATTAAAAAGAAAAATATCCCTCAGATTTCTGACAAGCCCTATCCCCCTGATCTTTTGATAGTGACAGCTGTAGTAGTCAATAGAAAATTAACAAAGGCTCCCTTTAGTTGACTTTCATCAAGTTTTCATTTATTGTGATTCCAGTAGGACAGGAGGCTGGGGACCGGCGAGGCAAACCATTTTGCTATGGAACAACCAAAGCAAAAAAAGATCATCACTATTTTTTGTGGGTGTTGCTGAAGCACTGAGTTGGGTGATAATTTTACTCAACAATGCACAGCAACCCAACAAAACCAGAACCCAACATTAACGCACCAGAACCCCAATCATTGAAATGCATGAGGTTAAGGTTTGAACACCACAGTGTTGAGACCACACGGAAACAGTGCTGGCATGAGGGGGAACAGGAGGGTGGAAATCTGAACAGTGAGGCTCGAGAAGGTTCAAACAAACTGGCAATCAGTTGACCTCGGTGACGCGTCTCAGAGAGCCGATGGTGGGGCTGGCGCTGCCCCACTCGCTGTGCCTCCTGTATTCTCCAGGGCGCAAGAAGTACTGGCGCCCCCTGTAGTTGGGGTGTTCGTGCAGCATCCAGTAGCCCTCCATGACATTGACAGAGGAGATGTCACGGGTGTGGAAACGCTCGTGCAGATCTGGGCAGTCATCCATTAGCTCCATGTTCTGACCCCCAAAGTCAGACCGCTCGAAGATCTTCATCCTGTAGTTCCCATTGTACTGGGCAAGACATGAGAAGATGACATGGTAGCAGCATTTAAGCTAAACACTGTATACAGCAGTCAGATAGAATTCATCCTCCTGATCCAATCATCTAGTCTATAGTTCAAGAAAAAAAAGAAGACCACATGTGTTATATAACCACAGCTACTGGCACCGACAGCAGCAGGACTGGGCTGGAGAACTAAATGGTCCTGAACTGGCACTTTTACAGAAAAAGCATTGCTACAAACAGGGTAGGGCACGAGTTGAAACTCACAGGTGGCACCATACGGCAGGAGCGGATGCAGTCATTGAAGCCGGCCCAGCGCTGGTAGTCGGGGTACTCTCCCTTGTGCAGCATGTACTGGTAGCCGCTATAGTTGGGCTTCTCATAAGCCACCCAGCAGCCGCTCTCAACTTTTATCGAGTTACAGCGGCTGAAGTGGTTTTGCATCTCGGGACAGTCACTACTGCACTCGTAGTGACGCCCCTGGAAGTTCCTGTCTTCATAGAAGATAATCTGCATATGACAGATGGTTGGACGTTACAGCATCACCGCAAAGACAAACTGAGGCACACAGGCACGAGCAGCTCTCTGTCCTTGGGCTCTTAAACAATTGTAGCCTGAACTTTGCATAGTTTTCATAACCACACCATTTTGTATTCTGAGCCAGGTACGCAAGTTAGTTTCATCGAACACAAGTTTTTGAGCAGAATATTTGTAGAAGAAGTTTAGAAAAGAGAAGCTGGAGGGAGCATGAAAACATGTCCCAAATGATGCGCCAGCAGCAAAGTTGAATAAAACACAGGATAGCATGTGGTATATTCTGATGAAGACGAACTAGACTTTGTAGACTTCGTCAAAAGTTCTCGGCCTATTTGCACAGGAAATAGGACGATCAGCTTATTTAAACCACTGCAGTTTAACAGAAGACAAAGGTATACGTATTCCTTATTTTGCAGCTTTTATTTCGCTTGTTGGTGAATTTTATCCATTAGAAACGTACATCCATTCATGTGTCATGGAAATAGGTCAGCAGTCCCTTACAACTAGTGACCAGTTACCACTTCATGAAGGTTCTTAGCATTTTATATTTCAAATCAGTTCAGTTGCCGTTTTAGAGTTATTTATCACTTAAAGTGCAAACCAGCTTGCCGTACATCAGTATTCCCCTTGCTGTTGCTGCATAGATATTAAATGTCATGCTTACCTTGCCCATTGCAACTGTGTTAAGTTCAGACCAGACCAGATGCTGGCCTGTATCAGACCTCTTTATAGACCCTGCTGGGATCAGGGCTTTGCAAACGCGAAACAAAGCTTTGTCGTGTCAGCACAGTGCGCTCTATAGACTGCAGAGAACTATAGGACTGGTGAGCTGCAGCAGCTGCTTTGTCTCTGTCAAAGCTCTGTCTGTCTGTCTGTCTATGGAAAATACTGTACAAGTGCATTTTCTCAAAGGGCTACAATAAGAGCTGCAACACGTGCCTTTGTTTGGCGTGAATGCCGGAAACCTTACATGCAGACTGTGTAGACAAACAGGGCAGCAAACAGAGCAGCTCTGGTTTGTTTCTATAGGTATGTATGGCAGGAGGCTAAAGCAGGAAACAGATGTGCTGACCAGTGCTGTGCTTCATGTTTGTATGTTGCATGATTGAAATAAGCTCACAAAACACATTGCTATTTGGAAATTAGATTTTTAATGTTACGTGGTTACATCTGAGTCCTCATCCTCCTGAAGGAGCCCACCATGGGGTTGTGGCAGCCCCAGTCACCACAGGCCCTGTACTCTCCGGGACGCAGGAAGTACTGGCGTCCCCTGTAGTTGGGGTGCTCGTAGAAGATCCAGTAGCCCTCCATGACATTGGCAGAGTAGATGTCACGGTAGCGGAAGCGCTCGTACACGTTGGGGCAGTCATCCATGAACTCCATGGTGTGTCCCATCAAGTCAGGCCTGTTGTACAGCCTCATCCTGTAGGATCCTCTATACTGTGTGTGAAAGAAAGGAGAACGTAATTACTATGCTACCTTGGTAGGTTCCAACCCCAGAGAGCACTTCGGTAGAGCTTTTCCACACCGAGCTGATTTTTGAATTCAAGTGAGTACTTGCTCTACTTGGTTTCTTTAAGGAACTACAAATGAGAATGAGCAACAACTCTTTTGGAGCATGACAGAATTAGATTTTTTTCCCTCCCTAAACTGCCAGAAACACTCAATGTGACTAACAGAATTAGAGTGAAGGCGCCAAGTCTTATGGGGGGTTTATCATATTCTTTTTAAAGGCTTGACTGGGTCTCCTTGTGGGCCTTGCAGCAGAGACTTTTATGTTATGACCTGCGCGAGTATCTGTAAATGACATCAAAAAGCAAGTGATTGACACCCATTTCTAAAGAGGCATTTGATGTACAAGGTGGTGGGGTGGGGGGGTAGCTGGTGGTGGTGGTGGAGGGAGGCGCTACGGATCCTATCTGTCTGTTTGATTGACTTACAGGGGGGAACATCTGGCAGGAGCGGATGCAGTTGTTGAATCCCATCCAGGCGTTGTACTCGGGGTACTCGCCGGGGCCCATGATGTACTGGTAGCCCATGTAGTTGGGCTTCTCATAGGCCACCCAGTGACCGCCGCTGACACGGATGGAGTTGCAGCAGTTGAAGTGCCTGAAGGTGTCCATGCAGTCGTTGCTGCACTCCCAGTGGCGGCCCTGGAAGTTGCGGCCCTCGTAGAAAATTATCTTGGAAAGGAGAGAGAAGCATGTGTCAGTAAAGCTTATGTATGTAGCTGCTGTACTCATGAGTAGACTGTAGGGGACACTGCTCTCCCTTGAACAAACTCAACTACTTTTCATGAGTACTTCCAGTTTACAACCCTCTTTAGCGCTGTACAGTATTTTCAACATGTTTTATGCTCGTCCACCTCCAACAAACTGCCAAGCTCTCAAATGTAAGACATCACCAATGAGACGCTGCCATCCAGTCTCCATCTCCTGCTCATAGTTTTACTCAAATGAGCACTTTTGCTGCCCTGCCTCTCCTTTGCTGCATTTGCTTTCCTCGCTTCAATATATGAGCCTAATTTCCACATGTGTCCTCGTCCCAGCGGATCCTTGTGCATGTCAGTTCATACCTTTCCCATGGTTGTAGGCCTGTGGATGTTTGCGCACTATTGCCCGAGACACACTTGTGGGTCCTTTTATACTCTCCCACCGATAATGAGGCCTCTGACACGTCAGGGACTACTACTCTTTACCTTTTCAGATGCCCTTTTGTCCGACGGCCCACGGGGGAACTTATCTCCTGTCTGCTAGAGTTTACCTATAGAATTGACAACGCCCTCCTAAAAAAATGAACGCCACACAAGTGCTATTCTGTGTTTGCATGACCCTTGTTCCGCCATGACCTTGTGATGCAGCCCTTTTGAAACATCACACAAAGGCCCTTTTGGTATGTGGCCTCCCAACAACAAAGCGGGTTAAAGTGTACAGTGGCTTAGGTCACTTTTGGGGGGCACTCACTCGAACTAGCACTTGACCAGCTTGTGATTTTAACGTCTTGATTGGCTGGAAAAAATCATAACACGGCAGCTCTTCGTTCAGTCTCCAAGTGACCACATTGTATTAATTGTTCTGTGAAAGTAAAGATGAGCTGATGCCGTGGACCAAGTTGGGCTTTTGTGTTGATCTAATCTACAGCGATCTGTTGTCTCTCTCTGCTTCCATAGCCTGCAGTTGTACTGTGATGCCAGACGGGACTGGTCTGTTTGCACATGTACAGACAGAACTGCTCAGTGTGTGTGTGTGTATGTTTGTGTGATATAAAAGGAGGGGTTTTGGGGCATCTGTGTGTTTGAGTCTTTGTATAAAATGATAGATGTTTGGACTTGAGTCTTTGGCTTGTAAGCATAGCCCAGAGCTGAAGGGGAAAAGGCCAGAAAGAGTTGCCGCCATGTATTGTGTTCCCAAAGCCCAGCTGATGCCAGAAAGGTCAGTCCCATCCTTTAGCCTTTCATCAGGATAAAGAGCTTTTTGGCCCCTCTCCACTTTGTGTGCTTTTTGCAGCTTCAACTCTGTAGAAAGGCTAATGTTTTCACAAAGCACAATAGCCATTTTGTTCCTGGGCAAAAACACTGCTAGCCTGGTAGTAGCATCCGAAGCCATATGACACTGTTTCAGCGCTAAGAAACGGCGCTGATAAGCTTTGGCTCCTTTGATCACTCGATCGACTTGAAACTCTCGTAGGCTTCAATAGGTTTCATGTTTGAAGCGCCACTCTTTTTCTATGACATAAGTAGACCGCTGATATGCTTTCATCACGCTGCGCTGTGTAATTGCTGCAGATTATCAGATGGGATGCAGTTTTGTTTTGTGAGTTTCTGGAGCAAATATTTACTCTGGGAGGAAAGGGTTTTGTTTTTTTTCCATCAGAATATATAAGAAACAAATGTTTAGGTTTCCCTCATGTGTTCATTGATGAATAATTTCTGTCATCTTGCTTATTGAATGTAAAATCTTTGTAGTTGAGCGGGGAGCAGAGCGACAGAGAAGTTGTATTCACGCTGAAGCTCTGACACTGGAATACAGCTGCAAGCACTTTTTTGTGCTGAGGTGTCTGAGCTGGACTCTTTCTGCTCTCAGGCGGCTGCTCTGACCTTTGACATTTGTATTGAGAGAAGCGTGTAGCCGAGGCACAATGCAGCGTCTAAACCAAGAAAAAAAGAGCTGATTGCCACTGTCATCAGCGCCTTTGTTCTCATTGTCATCAGCGAGGAGCATCAGCTAACCCTAACTCATTAGCCGGGACCTTGGCTCGCTCCGTGTCTCTGTGGCTTCCAGAGGGGAACCTTGTTTCACAGGATCTCAAATGATCATCTTTAGCTGTGCTACAAGACATCTCCTCCCCACCCTGAAGGGAAACTAACATCACAGAGGCCCTTGCCTGCTTTCTCAGTTCCCCCCGGAGGAGAAGAAAGCTACCCACTGTGGAGCATTCCACTCTTCATCTCAGAATGATGGAAGAAAAGGAAAGGAGAAGGGAACAGAGTGGGGGGCTCGATTCGCAGCTCCATTGTGTCCGAGGATCTCATTGTGCAATGTGTGTAACCGCGTGGGAGATGACGACACTATTAGCCTGCAGAATGACTGTCATTTGGGGACCTCTGTGATTGATGTGCACCCCACAGAGAGAGGAGAAACTTTGACAGATAGCAACCCCAGCACTAGTTAACTTGCAACCTTTTTCATCTATCCGGCTTCCAAAAGGAAAATCCATTCGTGTGGCTGATACCTAATTAGAATGTGAATGTGCAATTCACTCAGTAAAACATATTTCAGGGCCAGCCGAGACTTCTTTCAATATAAAACAAATCATATTCCCTTAATCCGAACCAGGGTCTCTGTGACCCCGCTATATACAGTAAGTCTCACCCCTAAAATGTTGTGGGGAGAGATAGGAGAGCAGCCGGGCTGCAGAGCCTCCGACGTGCTCTTTGCTGAACAGTCATTACAGAAACACTATGGTACGAAGGTGTAAACAAGGGCTCGATGTGAGTTTTGCTCCTGAGAACTGGCTAATCTGGTGCTGAAAATGTGGTATGATGGGAAAGTGCTTGCCAAAAAGCCTCCCACGCCGGGAGTAGAATGAGGACCTCTCTTTTGCTGAGAGATCATCCTCTCCATTCTTTCTGTCAGAAAATCTCCAGGCATCCTCCCTCTCTTGTCACTGCCAGCGCACAGGCTCTATCGGGATTGCCAGACGCAGGAGCCACTGTGAGCCGGTGCCAGGGCCAGGATTTACCGCGATGCGTCTGATGTGCTCCATCTTTTTGCTGGGGGATAATTAAAAGAGGAAATGGTGTTGGAAGAACAGAGTGGAAAAAGCAGGAGGGAGGAGGAGGGGGAGGGCTTGGACCGAGCAAATGGATGCAGCTGTCAATTATGTTGAATTGTTGATATGTTTGTTTTCCTTTCTCTGTGTGTTGAACTGTCCCCATCAGGATTTAGTTTTAAAGTTTGCAGTAAATCTCCACTCCGTACATGTAATTAAAAACATTTATGCTAATTAAGAACTACTCTTAGCAATGAAATCACCGCAGAGGTTTTCTCTTAGTTTGATTCTGGTGACCCACAGGTGATCAATAAGGTGCGACCGTGAAGGGAAAAATATTCCTGAAACAGCTGCTGTACATGTAGGTTTTTATTTCACAGCAGAGGCAGATCTTCTGCTCAGATCTCTTGAAGATCTCACACAAAGTTCTACCAAATTGTACTTTTCCAAATTATTCCAAATGTCTTCCTTTTTGCTGTGCATTCATACGAGCAGCAGACCTGCGCTGCTGGAATCACCGCAGCGTCTTTCTTTATTTGCCTGAATCCGTTTGAGATGCTCCACCATGCAGCATGACCCAAACTCTGTGAAAAGCAGGACAACTCCTTGGTCTCTGAGCAGACACGCCGGTGGGAGTGATGGCTTTTAGCTGCTCTCACTCCTCATCTCGGCGCTCTGTTTTGACGTGGCGTGTCTCCCCGTACCCCAAAGCTTTAAAGGTTTAAAGAGCAGCTTCTTTTCCACCCTGTAATCCAGGTGCCTTTCAAACAAGTCACGCTGTTTACTGACACATGACAAAAAAGTTCAAGCCCCTCTCATCTCTCTGCTTACAAGACTGTAGCTCACCTCGGCGCCTGGTAGTCGTTCCTCCAGAGCGCCCTGAACAAACAGAGCCTCGGCGAGAAGGGGCCCCTGCCTTTCACCACTCACTAAATTTGTAATAAGATGTGATGCTGTTGTTCACTTCTTCAAATTTGTCATCAAAGCAAATGTGTTCTGACAACAGCTAGTGACAAGTGCACCAGAGGAGAGGCAGCAAATCAGCTTTTTCACACCGCATATCAATTATTGATCGTGTTGCTCCCCTCCCCTGCCCCGCCACGTAGACACCTTGTGATAATGAAATACATCAATTTAAAAAATAAATAATAAACCGGGGTCGGCTCCATTGTTGCGAAGCCTTAAGAGCTTGATTGACTGCCTGCACATTTTCCTCGTTGGCAGTCAGGCAGATCAAAGGAGGGTTCCTCTTATTGCCCAAGGCCACTTGCAATTTATTTAGAGGAGCAGTGCTGCTGTCCCAGCAGGTAACATTATTGGGCAGAGACACTCAGGATAATCATAGCTTTGAGGTGCCTCTCAAATCCCACCTCTGCTGGCTCTATCATGCACGCACACGAAACACACGCATATGATTTACAGAAAAACCCTCATTATTATAGTGAATTAAGCGCCAGATAAGAGCACATTAATATCCTCGTGTGTAGGATCCAGTTGCTCAGAGGCAGTGACCTCGGCTGACCTAAACGTGTTCGGCTGTATTGGCTCTGGCTGCACATGTCAACATTTATTGGACTGGATTTTTTTCCTTTTTACTCTAGAATGAAATTACTTTTTGACTTTTACACATCGTACTTTCTTGCATAAATAATTTCTCTTAATAAACGTGAACAGTTTAAGCACATATTCTAGCAGCTGAACTATCCGTGGACCTGCAGGGAAATGTGGGTCACATGAAACCAGAACGTCTGAACGAGTGGTCCGACACGCTGAAGACGGGGAATCTAATCTATTCGAGGGACGCGTGAAACGACAGAACATGTAATATTGCTCCGTTTTATGAATGAACAAATAACAATGAAATTTTCTCGTTCAGCGTTTTGTTTGTAGTGTTCGACACCTTGATTTTTCAGAAGCTTTTTGTATGCGGCACATGAATAATACACAACAGAGGATGCTTTTTTTTGTCCGACACACTCGTTTGCTTAAGAGCACACAGTTTTAAATAATGTACGTCTTAGATCACTTTCCCATAAGACTCAGTTAAAAAACACTATTGTAGTTATTAGCCACTTTCATATTTTGTGTATTTCTATGTCACCGCTGGCAGCTCAGCAGTGAGAGCGTTTAGGTTCCTAAAGTCTTAACGAGGTTCAGGTTCAGCTGATGAAGAGATATTGTCAATCTAACAATCAACAGAACCTGAAAAGCATTTTTATATATATATATATATATATATATATTTAGAAAACGTTAGAATAACCTTGGTCCCACCACAGCATCGGTCTGTGAAAGGCTGAGCACAAAGTGACA